TTTATGAACCTTTTAAACGAAACAAATTCTAACAACTCTTTTGTTTTACACATTAATAAAGTGCTCATCACTTGAAAGCTTGCAATACTTTGAAAGCCATTGTTTCAAAACTATAGATGACTTTCCCGTCGCTCTACTCATAGTATTAGTGATACTATTGATAATTGGGTTCATTTTAATTGTGTATATTGTGGCCATTATTTATATCATACGCCGAAAGAAGAGTTCCAGTAGTGATAAGTTTCCCACAGTTTTGTCTTATAGTACTCAAGAGAACACTATCTCTACTGTTGAACACACGAAGGATATGGACTCTACATCACTAACAGAGCCATCAAAAGTTGCCAACAAAAAGACCACAAAAAAAGATTAACATTTTTATTAATTTTGACTTTAATTTATGTATATTTGTTATTTCAACTTTTATTCATCGTATAATTTATATATCAATGTATTATTTGTCTTTTATAATCCAAATTAAAATTGATTTTTATTAATTGATTTTATTTGTTTTCAAGTTTTAGTTTATAAACTTACTTAAGTTAAAAGTCTTTTTATAAATCTCATTTAAAAATCACTTTATATTACAAACTATTATATTTTAATTATCATTTATTTAATTTGTTTATGTGTTTATTTAACATTTTTATTTGCAAATAAAATTTATATAAATTATTACATAAATATTTTAGTTGATTAAATTTGTGCAAATAAAACTTATAATATATTACCAATTATTTCAAAATACAAGATTTACACAATATTGATTTATTGATTCAATTGATAAATTACTTTATATATAATATATTTAATAGGGAGTAATTATATTATTCTGTGATATCAAGTATACTGTGCTGTACAGAATTATTTTATTGCATATAATGTTTAACTAGTTTCAAGGTTAATAATATTCACATAAACATCTTTATAATCACTTTATTTATGATGTTTGAACGATAAGAGTTAAAAACAATTATAAATACTTATTATTATCATATTTGTCTGAAATATAAATTTATTTTTAACTTTATGCTCTTTATTGTAATGTGAATAACAAATAAAATAAATTTATAATTTATTGAGACGATTCTGTTGTCTAAAAGTTTTTATCTCAGATATCAACATAACTTATACTTTGAGTTTAATAGTGTTTAACATTTAATTTTGTTACAAAAATATTAAATAACACAAAACAATGGATGTCATATTGCAGTCAATAACGCAATATTCAGCCATTTATTATTTGATTGCTATAATAGTCATTGGATTTGTTTACCTAATAATCAAGTAATATTTAATTTGTTTTGCAATCTATAAATAAATGATATTTCTTACACAATAACAGATACTATGGTCGGGACGATAGCCAGCACTGGCGGGACAGGAATGTCACACCCGGTAAAATGCCGTCAATGTTATGGTTATGGAAGAAACGACTTCCCGAAGATGTTCACAGGGAGTTGATCCAGAAATATGGCAAACTATACGGAGTCCGCATGTTTGGTAAGACAACCATTATCTGCAACCGACCCGATATTATAAGTCAAGTACTTAGCAAAGAGTTTACCAGTTTTATTAATAGACGGGTATGTATTTTATCATTATGTTACTATTATCTAATTTAAAATCCTTATTTTGGATTTATTAATCACAAATTCTTATAATTACTAAATAAGAAATTGACAACTGGCGACGCTATAGCGGACAATATGTTGCAAATAACGACAGATGACAAGTGGAAACGCCTGCGGGCTATAGTGTCGCCCACTTTTTCGACCGGAAAGTTACGGAAAATGCGGCCTTTGATTGACGACTGTTTGCAAACATTAGTTACAAATATCGGCAAAATGTCGACAAATAGTGATCACTCGGTGGACATGAAGACAGTTTACGGCGCGTATACTATGGAAGTGATAATACAAGTGGCGTTTGGGACAAAAGTGGACGCACTTATCGACGACAAGAACCCCATTATATTAAATGCCAAGAAACTAATGTCACAAGACTTTAAGATATGGCAATTAATTCATGTTTTAATTATCTTTATGTTCCCAAAAGTTGCCAAATTCTTTGGCATGACTTTTATGCCAAAAGATATCACCGGTTTCTTTACGGATCTAATTAATAAGATAATCGCTGAGCGCCGCACCGGTAAGGCATTAGACGGCGGTAAAAGATATGACTTTTTGCAACTATTATTGGACGCAAACGAAAGAAATAGTGAGGAAACTCACAAACAGGAAACCACTACTGAATCGGATGTGTTATCTGAAGAGCAGACAACTCCTTTGCAACTAAATACCAAAAGTAAGTCATGAATAATGTTTAAAAAAACTTTTACATAACTTTTTCTATTAAAAGGTATGTCAGACGCAGAGATGATCTCTCAATGTGTGCTGTTTTTCATCGCTGGTTATGAGACAACTGCCACCACTATATCGTACGCCATATACCTGTTGTCCGAAAACCCGGAATCGCAGCAAAAACTATTTGAAGAGTCAAAGAGTATTTTTGAGACTAAAGTAATTATTAATTACACTATTATTTATATATTTATTGTTATAAATATATCCACTCATTGTGTTGTTTTCATATCGCATAGCAAGACATCGATTACGATGCCAT